GAGGGCCACACCCAGAGGGTGGTGGTGGATGGGTCTTATTTGACCTGGAGGGATGTGGGCAGTGGGGTTCCCCAGGGCTCAGTCCTCGGGCCCGCGCTATTCAACATCTTCATCAGTGACTTGGGCAAGGGGGTAGAAAGCACCCTGTTCAAGTTTGCAGATGACACTAAGATGTGGGGGGAAGTAGGTATGCTAGTAGGAAGGAACAGGCTGCAAGCGGATCTAGACAGGTTACAGGGGTGGGCCGATGAGAATAGGATGGGGTTCAACACTGACGAGTGCAGGGTAATGCACCTGGGGAGGAAGAACCAGCGGCACACCTACATGCTGGGGAACTCCCTTCTCGCCAGTGTTGAGACGGAAAAGGATCTTGGAGTCATCATCGATGCCACGATGAACATGGGCCGACAGTGTGGGGACGCGGTCAGGAAGGCCAACCATACCTTGTCGTGCATCCACAGATGCATCTCAAGCAGGTCCAAGGAGGTGATCCTCCCCGTCTATGCGACACTGGTCAGGCCGCAGCTGGAGTACTGCGTTCCGTTCTGGGTGTTGCACTGGGTGTTGCACTTCAGGAGGGATGTGGCCAATATGAAGAGGGTCCAAAGGAGGGCCACCCGCATGATCAGGGGGCAGCAAGGCAGGGCCTATGAGGGGAGGCTATGGGACCTGAACCTGTTCAGCCTCCAAAAGAGAAGGCTGAGAGGGGATCTAGTGGCAGTCTACATACTAGTCAAGGGGAACCAGCAGGCATTGGGAGAGTCCGTGTTCCCCCGAGCACTCCCGGGAGTTACAAGAAACAATGGACACAAGCTAGCGTAGGGTAGTTTCAGGCTAGACATTAGGAAGCGCTATTTCACTGCCAGGGCGGCTAGGACCTGGAACCAACTTCCAAAAGAAGTGGTGCTGGCTCCTACCCTGGGGGTCTTTAAAAGGAGGCTGGACAAACATCTGGCCGGGGTCATTTGACCCCAGTACTCTTTCCTGCCACGTCAGGGGATCAGACTAAATTATCTCCTCAGGTCCCCTCCGACCTGCCAACTATGAAACTATGACTTCATGGATCATTGTCATTTCCCTAATTCCTGCTAATCTCTCTCCACTACACAGGTATTAATGATCCATTCTCCTTTTGAACAGAGATTTAACACTGTTCAATCTATTCTTTCTTCTGCAGTTTTGCTGTCTGTTTGCTATTCCCAGTAATCTCTTTCATTTCAAAGCCTTCAGACTATTTTTAATCCTAGCTGAAAAACCTTAACTCAGGTGTGGCCATATTAACTCGGTATAGAAACAACTGCCAGTGAAATATTGAAGGCACTGTCAAGACACTCCAGAAGGCTAGATCTTGTTTTATGAATCTGATTAAGAGGCGTACATTTAATTATAATGACAAGAGAAATCATGACACAGTATATTTGGACTGGTTTTGCATAGTTTGTTGTGTTTCCTAAATGTAATATATAATCCAGTAAATTAGCCCACATTCCAATAAAGTTATATGTGTTTTGACTTGGATCTTACACTGTGTAATGTAGCCCAAGGCCCTCTAGCATATTAGTAAAACTTCTAGTTTCTTTTTACGTTGGGAGGGTGGGGGCTGGAAATTGTGCATTGTGTTATATGTGATGCTGCCCTACACCTTCTGCAGCCCCAAATCCTAGATCCACCCATGGATAAGACAGAAGTGAAGCTGGGATGTGTCAAGTCCCAGCATTATGATTATGATGAAGGGAGATAGAAAGATGCAGGAGAGTTGGGGAAGACTTGGCAACAGCAAGACCCTCCCTTGCATGCACCTTGGGGACACGTGGTGTCCCATGCATGTGGGGTCCTCCTTCCAGGGTAATTGGCCTGATTTGGTGTCCCTGAAACCCACATTGCCCCCTAGTGTGCCCTCCAAACCACCTGGGCAGAGCGTGAGCAGGTTTTGGCAGAACCAGGTGGAAGTGAGTACTTAGCCTGGCAGGAGAGAGAGGTATGATTATGGGATGGGTGGTGTAGCATGAAGAATGGAGCCAAGAGTCCTAGGTTCTCTCCCCAGATCAGGAAGGGAAACTGGGGGGGGGGTCTAATGAGTTGGAGCAGGGATCCCTTTTGAGTGTTTCAGGGTATAAAGGGGTTAAGGGGGGAGCCAGTGACACCAGAGCTATGTCCAGTATGATATTATGCTTCTGGCAGCTGTGATAGCCCAGCCCTGGTGCTCACATCAGGCCAGGAGGGCCCAGAAAGGAGTGAAGGACTCTAGCCTGGACTTGTAGTTTAAGTTCCCCCTGCCCTCCCACATGTACACACCCTCCCACAGCCCTGCTGGTGCTTCTAACTCCTGACCTGCAGCCCCCTGCCAGCCCAGCTAAGGTTCCACTTGCTTTGCCCACGCTCCATGCTGGTAGAGGATAGAGGAGAGGAAAACTCAGGGCAGCCATGAACTGAGGGCACAGTGGCTGAAATCGGGGACCTGCCCTATTCCCCGTGTGTTTGTGTGTGTGTTTTCAGGGGGCACATAGGACTGACCCCCCCCCCCCCCACAGGTGGCCCCCCCCCCCCCCCCCAAAAAAAAAAAAAAAAAAACAACACCAAAAAACTAAGTCCAGGATACCTCAGGTTGTCATCTCCTGTAGGGACTCAGCCCTATACTTACAGGGTACTTTGAGGCCATCCGTGAACCCAACCCAGGCCCCAGTCTTCACTTACACCCAAGCAGAGAACCCTGGCATCCAATCAACCCAACTCAATCCGTTCTAAGTGCCTGAGGACATCAAGATCAGATGGCCCCAAAGTTCTTGGAGATTCTGCAGTGAGACCAGCAGAACAAGCACAGGCCACTGTCCTCTGTGTTCCACCTCTCTATGAGTCTGGCTTCCAGCTTCCCCCTCCCCAAAACTCCCCAGCTAGGCTAGATCAGGAGCCGTGTTACAAGGCATGCTCTCCTTGTGGAAAAGGCACTTAAGTAGGGACATGATAGCAGTCTTCAAATATTTGAAAGGATGCCATAAAGAAAAGGGAGAGCACCTCATCTCTCTTGCTACAGAGAGTAGTATACAGATCAATGGCTTGAAGTTGTAGCACAGTAGATTTAGATAGGATACCAGGAAAAACGTCTTCAGTGTTAGAACAGTGAGGCAGTGGGCCTAGGGACTGCCTAGGAAAGCTGTGGACTCTCCATCGTTGGAAGTGTACAAGAAGAGGTTCATAGATTCATAGATTGTAAGGGGCTGGAAGGGATCGTGCAAGATCATTGGGTCCAGTCTCGCTTGCACTAGGCAGGAAAGACAACTGGGTTCAGGTGACCCTAGCAAAGTGACCATCCAGTCTCCTCTTGAAGATTTCCAGGGCAGGTGATTACACCACCTCTGGAGGGAGCTTATTCCACAGTCTGGACACCGTAGCTGGGAAGTTTTGCCTAATGTTGAGCCTGAAATGGTCTTCCAGGAGTTTGTGACCATTACTCCTGGTTTTCCCCAAGGGTGCCCTGGTGAACAGCTGTTTGCTGAGCCCTTGATGTATTCCCCTAATATAGTGGTAAGCTGCTACCAAGTCTCCTCTCAGCCTTCTCTTTTTTAGGCTGAAGAGACCCAAGTCCCTCAGCTTTTCCTCATATGGCTTGCCTTGCAAGTCTCTAATCATACAGGTAATCTCTGATTATACAAGTTGGATAAGCATTGGTCAGGGAAGATGCAGGAATAGCTATGCCCATGTTCCACTAAGGGTATATCCCGGGCTGTTGAGTTTTGCTGGTTGCCACATGGGGCTGAAATCTACACCCTCCCCTCCACCCCACAACTCCCCAGCACCTTTCTGCTACATGTGCAGGGAGTGTTTAACCCTTCCTCAGAGGCATTGGGTGTTGGCTACAGCCAAGGCTGGGGATTGGGAGTGGGCTGTGCCAATGCATCTACTGGAAATTGAACCTTGAGGCTTGAGAGTCTTGCTCCTCCACTTAGGGTCAGACCAATTGCCATAGCAGGGTCAGGAAGGAATTTCACCCCATGATCATATTGGTATGGACTGCAGGGGGTTTTGCGTTCCTTTGTAGCGGGGAGGGATGTAGCCCTCTTCCCAGACTCTCTCTAGTATATATTATCAACTTTTGTAGCATCAAGACACTAGCCACTGTTGTCCCTCATGTCTATCTGTGGCAGATTCAGGTGTTATGTCTTGTGGTTGTGTCAGGGTTGACTGTGATTTTGCTAATAAATTGGACAATGGATTTATATAGGACAGCTTAATGGAGATGCCCCTCCTTAGGCAGGGGGGTTAGACTAGATGACCTCTGCAGGTCCCCTCCAGACAGACATCTCTAGGATTTTATGATTCTAAGTCCATGAGCCAATTTATTGATTGTTTGGGGTCTGTGGCCTGCTGTCCAGGCTCGAGGGTTCTGTTTCTAGGGACAAGAGTGGGGAGAGGTCAGCACTGATCCCAATCCACTCAGGCAAAAAAGCAGCCGAGGGCTTGAAGATCTGGAGGAATGGGGAGTCAGGCAGGGTGTAGTTGGCCAGGTAGATGGTCTCCCCTCTGGCCAGGTAGGCAGCCCAGATGCCGAACGTCCCAATGGTCATGATTGTGTGGTTGCAATGGGCCAGCAGCGCAAAATCCCTGCCTGGAGACAACTCCCTCCCATCCCCAACGAAGTACACGTCCCCCCTTGAAGCATCAATGTTCTTTCGGCACCAGTCCATCCCATTGCTGGTCACCACAAAGACTGGCTCCTTGTACTTAGCCCGGAAGTAACCCATGGCCTTTTCCAGGTAGGTCCTGTCAGCTACCACCCCCTTCCAGGTTGTGGGCATCAGCTGGACATAGTCCCCCCGGCGGACATGGACGCCCACATAGGTCACATGGCGGCGCTGGCCACGCAACCTAGCCAGGTACTGGTTGGCCTCGTCCCGGACATGGTTGTGGAAGGAGAACTGCCAAAGGATCTCATCCCGGAGATGGTGGTAGAAGGTCCAGGAACAGGGGTATCCCATAAGCTGCACATACTTGCCCTGGATGTGTCTGTACTCCTCTGACATCCAGTCATGGAGCTGATAGTTCCTCCAAGGGATCCTCTTGACCATGTCCTTGTGGAGCACAGGCAGGGTGATATGAAAGAGGGGTGCCAGGTGTTGGTGCATCTCCGGGAGGATACAAGCCTGATGCCCATTCATCTTGGCCAGGGCATAGAGGGTGGCGTATTCCCCCATCTGGTTCCCCAGGCGCCCAATGGAGTTGACTGTCCATATGCCCTGAACTGAGGAAGTGTCTTGGCAGTGCCTTATGGGTTTGGGGTATGGTACCCTGTGCCTAGGGTCACTTTGCCAGCCATCAAGGAACAGGAAGAGAAGCACTGACAGGAAGGCCAGGAGTGAAAGAATCAGGAGGAAGACCAGGGTGGATGGGATCCAGGAGACCGTGACAGCCACAGCAGTAAGAGTAGAGGTGGTTCCAGCCTGGGAAGAGAGGGAGAAGAGTTGCATGAGACTCAGGAACATAGCAAGAATTTCAGGATATTCTTCCAGCACTCTCATCCATGTTAGGCCACAACCATTGGCCATGATGGCAGTAGCAGAGGGCAGTGGGACAATGATAGTCTTTCCACTCTTCTCTGCTGGAGGGATGGATGGAAAGATGGTGGATGTAGGATATAGAGAAGTTCTCAGGGAATGGTGGGAAGGGAGTGATAGAATGTAAATGGGAGTAGGGACAAGTAGATGGAAGGACTGATGGATGTTGTGGTCCATGTCTGGATACATGGCAGGGTTTGGTGAAAAAAAGGTGCAAGGGGTGTTGCTGGGGGGTGGGGACAGGGAGGAAGGAACAGAGGGATGCTGGAAAGACTGATGGAGAATTGGATGGATGTAGGGGGTAGATAAATGGATGGAGAGCATGTGGTTGGATGCCAGAAAAGAAGATGGAATGAGGAGTGTGTTCAGAGTGGAATTGATGGCAAGTGTGAAAGAACTGCAGATGAATGGAAGGATGACAGGGAGCCAAAGGATGGAGGGAAGGGAACACAGGCTGGAAGGAGAGAAGCCCCCCAGTGATGAAGAGCAAAAACAGCAGAAATTGAAAGCTGTGAAGGCCAGGATGTCCCAAACTGGAGACCCTCGTGTTGACACCCCTCTGAAACCCTGAATGGCCAGATCTAACCACTCACATTCCCCACAAGCGCCCCTCAGGCACCCAACTGGATAAGTCCCAGGTGGCCCTGCTCAGGCCCAACCCAACCGAAACTTCACCATGAACAGCAGGAACTCCCAGCCTAGAAAAGGCAAACATGCACCTGCACAATCCTAGATATCCCAGCTGATAAGACTGTACCTGAGCTACTTCAAGACCAGCCCTGCAGAACAGTAATGCAAACAGAGTAGGGGGATGGGGCTGGAGCAGGGAGGCAGGCAGCACCGAGGCCCACGTGTCCCCAGATATGAACCTATTAGTCCTCTCTAAGCCAGGGCACCCCATGCCTGATTCTTCCCTTCTGAGACTCACAGCCCACGTCAGCAGCAGGAAAT